CATAGTAGTTGATCCTTACCTTCTACTATAGTAGCTGACCCTTACCTTCTACCATAGTAGTTGATCCTTACCTTCTTTTATAGCAGTTGATCCTTACCTTCTACTATAGTAGTTGATCCTTACCTTCTACTATAGTAGCTGACCCTTAGCTTCTACCATAGTAGTTGATCCGTACCTTCTACTATAGTAGTTGATCCTTACCTTCTACTATAGTAGCTGACCCTTAGCTTCTACCATAGTAGTTGACCCTTACCTTGTACTATAGTAGTTGAACCCTTACCTTGTACTATACTAGTTGATCCTTACCTTCAACTATAGTAGTTGTCCATTACCTTGTACTATAGTAGTTGACCCCTTACCTTGTAATATAGTAGCTGACTCTTACCTTCAACTATAGTAGTTGACCCTTACCTTGTACTATAGCAGTTGATCCTTACTTTCTACCATAGTAGCTGACCCTTACCTTGTACTATAGTAGTTGATCCGTACCTTCTACTATAGTAGTTGATCCTTACCTTATACTATAGTAGTTGATCCTTACCTTCTACCATAGTAGTTGATCCTTACCTTGTTATGTCACCAGGTGATGCTGGTAGTTGATCGCTTAGATTAAGTATTTCTTTTATGTCATCTTTCTGGTTAAAAGTAACTTCATTTTCATTCTCTGAGAAAGCATCAGATTCTGTGTTCCTTCCATGAACAATGGAAGTGTTTTCCTGAGTTAGATCTTCTTGAATTATTGTAGCACTGGAGGTGTGCACACTAGGGACACTCATCACTGGCAGATCATCAGACTGATATACTACACTTAGCCCTAATTCTTCCTTCACTGGATTGTATGCTGGCAGGACTTCTCTTTCATCAGCTTCACCCTGTAACTGTATCACCTAACTGTCAATATAATTCTTACACCACAAATATGCAAAACTTTTATAGAACTAAAACCCACAAAAGTCACTGTATGAAAAGTTGAAATTCAGTTTGACATCTGCAATTTAGACAACTACTTTTAGAAATTCTGCCAAGTCTTGGGTTTTAGTTTTGTTACGTTATACACATTTTATTCAGTACAAGTTACTGATACTTGTCTAGACAAATGTTGATATCAATGGCCAGTCAAAATCCCTGTTTAACACATAACCATAATAAATCTTACTGTAAGATCTTCTTTGTTCTTGGCCTATGTGAACTTAAATGCTAAATCTTTTACATTTGTAAATCTTATTGAAGAAAGAGAGATTATGTTATAAAATTCAGTTCATATTAAAGTATCTTCTTGAAATATTGTTGACTTTATAAAATTCTCTTTTGATCATGAAATTTTTCAAAAACTTTTGTCTAGTTTGAGTGAATACATATTAAGATATAATAATACCAAAGATGTGAAAGATGTCCAGGCCAATACATCCACGTGTTATTTTGATAAATTATGAGCCTAACTGTCTTTCATGACCAGACATTTTGTATTTCTAGGAACTGGGGAATTTATGATATATCAAAAAATTTATATTTGATTTATTCATTGTATATTTTATTCAAGAAAGGTACTACAAATCTGCATATTTTATGATTCATTGACAATCAAATTATTAGCTTATGTACGAAACTGTGTCCGTCAGCAGCAAAATGCATCACTATAAGATCTTATGCAGGTTTTAACGTTTCTGGCTTTGGATTTTTTCAAGGTCATCTTCTAATGATAATTTACTGGATTTGTTGTCTATGTATTCATTAGTGCTTTCATTTAATATTTCATCATCAATGTCATTAAAAACAGCAAGAATAAGTTCCCATGCTTGTTCTGTTTTGTATCAATATCTATTTCCACTCACATTTATCAAATGTTCTTATGTGAATCAACTTATCGTTTATGTTATACTGGCAATAAAAAAAATAGTGCTTCAAAAAATACTATAATCATAATAAAAATGGGTACATTTCATGAAATACTGCCCAGTTGCAGCCTCCAGGTGAATTTAAAAGGAAGCTATTATAAGTGGTGTTCATCAGAGGACCAAATTATAAAAAGCCCAGCATCTTATAGATTTACACATAGTAGAAGCAATCCAAGTATGACAATATGGTTACTGAGAATAGAAATACAAGACATACCATGTACTCCAATATCATAAGCAAGGAGTTAAATGAGCCATGTCAAGCTATTTGTGACAGAAAGGCATCAGCTGCCACAGTAAAAGATAAGAGTCAGATAATATGGCAGAAAATAAAGGTTAGAGACTATGGTAAAGGATAAGAGTTATTTACCATAGTAAAACATAAGGGAAAGCAACTATGGTAGATAGTAAGGGTCAGCTACTATAGTAGAAGGTACAGTTCAACTACAACAACAGAAAACAAGTGTCAACTACTATGGTAGAAGCTAAGGGTCAACTGCTATAGTACAAGGTAAGGATCAACTACTATAGTTGAAGGTAAGGATCAGCTACTATGGCAGAAGGTAAGGATCAACTACTATGGTAGAAGCTAAGGATCAACTACTATAGTTGAAGGTAAGGATCAGCTACTATGGTAGAAGGTAAGGATCAACTACTATGGTAGAAGTTAAAGATCAACTGTTATAGTACAAAGTAAGGATCAACTACTATAGTTGAAGGTAAGGATCAACTACTATAGTTGAAGGTAAGGATCAGCTACTATGGCAGAAGGTAAGGATCAACTACTATGGTAGAAGCTAAGAGTCAACTACTATACTATAGAACAAGGTAAGGATCAACTACTATAGCAGAATGTAAGGATCAACCACTATAGTTGAAGGTAAAGATCAACTACTATAGTAGAAGGTAAGTGTCAGCTACTATGGTAGAAGCTAAGGGTCAACTACTATTGTACAATGTAAGGATCAACTACTATAGTAGAAGGTAAGGGTCAGCTACTATGGCAGAAGGTAAGGATCAACTACTATGGTAGAAGCTAAGGGTCAACTACTATTGTACAATCTAAGGATCAACTACTATAGTAGAAGGTAAGGATCAACTACTATGGTAGAATCTAAGGATCAACTACTATAGTAGTATAGAACAGTGTGACTGTAGTGTACCATAGACCACCTGTACCACATCATTGTCCCACTATCATACTGTAGTAGTTATCCAAAAATCCCAAAGTTTACAACAGTACATTTTCATTTAGGTTAAAACAAAAATATAATAGTTTGTAATCATGCCATCTTTACAGGAACTAAGACATCACAGTAAAAAAACCAGGATGTGAACATAGTGTGGTAAAACAATGTTCTTTAAAGTAAAATGATCAACAAAGTTCACTCACATATTTTCCCTAGTTTTGGAAGTTTGAATTTCTTTTAGAAAACTAAGTATAATTAAAATACAACAGCTTGTATTTAACTTTTCTCAGTTTGAAATATCTGTAATATTATAAATAATGAAAGGTGAAAATGAAAAATTTAAAACTTATCCCTGAGGGATGAAGGGTAAACTTTTGTTTGTTGTTTAATAAAATGCAATCATTTTTGGTTTGTAAAGGAGTACGAAATTAAGGGTAAGGTTTTTTTTGTTTAACCCCTTCCGTGTCAGGAGTTTTTTGAAAATGACCTAAAAAAAAGTCAGGTTTTATATTTCACTTTTTGATGGCCTATACTTATATATTAATGAAACAAAAGTTCTTTTATGATCTGTGTTACATTTCTGCACAAAACATAATTGATAATTAAATGTTATGTATCTGGATTTATACATGATATACATTATTTCAATGAAACTATGGTAAATAATAGGAATACTTTTCTCCAGTGCTTATGATACATAATTCAGGATAAATTTATTAGAGATCAGCATAAAGGCACTTCCAATGCCATCTAACAAACACTGATCGTAACACACAATAAGTGAATACATTTGGGCAAATAATTACAAATACGACAAAAAATAGTCTACCCTAATCATGGAGGGGCCCTAGTTATCTCTGGGAAATCATAGAAGGGGTTAATAATATCCACTTGTTTTTGGTTTGCAAAAAGTATTTTATCCATTAGACCCCCAGTCAGACTTTTGGGCCAATGGCACACCTCTGATGCATATAATTTGTTGCCAAAAAGTTAAGATTAATTTATAATGAAAAGGTAAATCAAAATAAACAATTCAAAGGAAGTCATCAATATGTAAACATCAAGTTCTAGTTCGTGGAATATGTTGGTAACTCACCCCAAGATTGCTCTTCAGTTTGAGACATAAGGGTTATTTTCTCTTTAATGTTTTACAAACTTTCTCATATACACCCAGAAAAGTCTCCTCATACCCCCAAGCTGGGAACCAATGCATTAGTATAAAATAATATACACACCATGAAGATCGAGATACACATGCTCTGTTAGATCATAACGCTACCACACAAAAAATGTTTATAATTAGTGTACATTGATTACAGCTGAGGATGAAATGCATTTAAACAAGATTCCTGTGATAATGTTGGACCTCAATTCAACTTAACTTCTTTTGTGTCATACCGAAAGTTCGACAAATGACTTATGTCAGCGACTTCAACTGTAGATATTTTAAGTTCTTTTTTAAACATCAATTATTCTGTACCAATAAAGCCATAGTAAACAGTGTGAGGTAAAATAATGATATATGAATGAAAGAATAACTAAATTTCTATGACTTACCAAGTTTAAACAGCTGACTGAAAGAAGAGACATCAGTTTAGCAGTTGAAACATACAAACAAACAGTAGTATTATATGTCTAAATATATATATAGTTAATAAATACGTTCTTGCTAAAACATTAATACTAACATTCCTGAGTTCCAGATCATCTTGTTCTAACTGATCCAAAACAAGTTTTTCCATTCGTTCTCCATAATTTAATACAGATATACTACAGTGTGGTATAGTGGGACCACAATGTGGTACAGGTGGTCTTTGGTACACTACAGTCATATTTTATTGTATTTTACTTTACTATAGATATACTACAGTATGATATAGTGGGACCATAATATGGTACAGGTGGTCTATGGTACACTACAGTCATATTTTATTGTATTTTACTTTACTATAGATATACTACAGTATGATATAGTGGGACCATAATATGGTACAGGTGGTCTATGGTACACTACAGTCATATTTTATTGTATTTTACTTTACTATAGATATACTACAGTATGATATAGTGGGACCATAATATGGTACAGGTGGTCTATAGTACACTACAGTCATATTTTATTGTATTTTACTTTACTATAGATATACTACAGCATGATATAGTGGGACCATAATATGGTACAGATGGTCTATGGTACACTACATGCATACTGTTCTATACCATACTTTACTACAGTGTGGTATAGTGGGAC